ATTAATAAATCAAGCAAGAACTTAAAATTTTCTGTGTATTTATATTATTAAAATATTGCGGTTGGTCGCATAGTCTCTATGTATACAGTTCTCCAGAAACATATCTTCGATTGAGTCATGTAATCGATACATCTCATATTAATTTTTAACTGCAACACCTTCATATCAAGAATGGATGGAACTTAATTCGCATAGCTTGGATTTCATTGTTCTACTCTAACAAGACTTAGCGATCTTTGCCTTCTTAAATGGAACTGGTTTTCTCTTTCCATCTTTGTTAACATGTGTAAAATCAATAATGCCTCCTTATCATGGTAGATACACAATTGAATATTGTTTTATCCTTTCTAAGTGCTCTTGATATATTATGCTACTTTCAGATAACCTGTCCTTTTATATGTTTTACATTTGCATCTTCATCATACAGTTTAGCATATTCTTGTGCCATTATATACATAGATATAATTCTTATGTCTTCTGTCTGATATCCATTCAAAATTGCAACTAACATAACATTTAAACTCGAGTTGAACTGTTTAAGCTGCGACATAAATGTTTTCAAGAGTGTTTCAATGTGTATAATCTTTTTCTACAATGTTCACAAGACACAATATTGACTCTTTTTGTCGTTTTTTGCCTTGGAATTGTCAGTTGTTTTTTTAATCTAATGAGATTTGTAATCTCTTTGGTATATTTCCCTTTTTTTGAATTCCTCTGTTAATAATTTTGTTTGAAGCAGATATTTTGTTGAGAATACATTTCATTAAGAACCATTTATATGCTATGACTAATCCTATGTAAAGCTTGTAAGTTTATATGAATAAGTAAATATTCTGATAGAAATGACTCTATTGCACTTATTTATCGGACACATCTAGACAAATATGTGCAAATGTCGTATTTTGTTTATGAAAATTGGAACTTAATGTCGTGAACGTCAATAAGAATGGACACTTAAACATTGTTCAAATAGTAATTAGATAGATTTTATCTAATTCTTTTTTAAAACATGTTTTACCAGATAAATGATTTAAATACGTGCCATATAATCGGGAGGTTTGGCTAGCCATAAAACCAGGTTCAACCCACCATTTTCTAAAATGTCCTGTACCAAGTCAGTAATATGGCAGTTGTCATCAAATAGTTCGTTTCTATGTAAGTTGGCGCGGTTTTTTTGTTGCACTTCAGTGTTTCTGTTTTCCCTTGTTTTCCTCTTATAGTTGATGTGTTTCCCTCGGTTTAAGTTTGTAACCCGGATTTATTTTTCCCTCAATCGATTAATGACTTTTGAACAGCGGTATACATTGTACTAATGTTACCTTTATTTGTTGTCGATGTGTTTGAACTTTTGATATTGCCATATGCTTAGGGATTTTCCGTTTTGAAATTTCCTCGGAGTTTTGTATTTTGTGATTTTACTTTTTAAAACTTTTAATGTGAGTTATTTTCAGTTTCATTGTGAAAATCATTCAAGTGTTATACAGCATGGCTTCAACACCTAAATGTAAAAAAAGAATTTTGGAAAAAGACTGCTTCGCCTTCACCAAAACGAACTAGATCGGATTTAGCTTAGACTTGATTGAAGACTACGATAAAATTCCAAAATTAACCCCAAAAAAATTTAGTGAGAAGTATGGGATCGGAGGTGCAACAGTGTCAGATATTTAAAAAAAAGAAGTAATTTTATAATCAGCAATATGCCGATAATTCTGCAGGGATACATGTGTTGTTCAATACAATTCGCTGGTCCCTTAGTGTGTCGGATCAGAAAAGTCTATATCAAAATAGAAAATGAGTAACTATCTGTCAAATCGATTACTAACGCATCGAATATCAAAATATCAGACAATGAATGATTTGAAGCTCTATATATTTTTATTATCAAAATTCAGAAGTTATGATATATGTGTATCATTTTATAGGAATTTCGTCAGACAGTGGTTAACAAAATGAGAAGTTTACAATAGAAGTATTAATATTTTGCGATATCTTGGGATTTCTATATTCCGTCAGGATATCTAATATACAAAACAAATTGAAAGTCGGAAGTTAACATTTTTACATTAAAGCGTCGTTCAACATTTATTCGTTGTTTGCCTAAGTCGAACAAATTGTTGTTTGACCTGTTTATTTTCCAGTTAACTTATATAATGTGAGTGGAAACTTAATTGGAATGGTTGCCAACGTTATTTCTAATGTACACGTATAATTTCGCGTACGTCTCTTCTTGATTTATTTGATTTTTAATTCATATATTGTTCTAAGAATTTCATTTACGTTATCCAAGAATTCAATTTGAGTGTTAACAAAAGAAAAAGTTATCTAAGAATAAAATCTCTTTTTCTTGTAAAAAACCAATAGCAGATACTTTATTAAAAGCGACTGGATAATAACCGTTACAGTAACGACTAAAGTCAGTCAATGGTGTAATATGCAAAACATGTTTTGTTGTCACTATCATAGGTTATCTAAGTGTAACACGACTGATTATTGTTGATTCTGGTTCTATCATTGTTCTTTATATTTAATGACTTGTGTTGACACAAAGGAGCTAAACGTTTATCTACCGTGGAAATTTATATGGAATGTTATCTTTTTCAGATCCTTAATTCTAATTATTTATATAATAGCATTCTTTTTTCAAGGTCACATATACAATTTTGCCATCGTCTTTAAAATGTTGATTTCTGGGTCTTTGTTTGTGATACTCTGTTAAACAGTATAACAATCAATCATCTTACGATGACGTCTTCAACTTCAACACTTGGAACCCTTGGTTAAAAAGCTTCTTTGAAAGCAGCAACCATATATCAAGGAAATCATGATAGAAAAGGCATGTTCAGGAATATCGTATCAACTGGGAAATGAATACCCCATATGGAGTTGCTGCAATCCGCAATGTCAAGGTTTAAGGTGTTAGTAATTATACGAAGCAGACTAGAGGAAAGCCTGTGTACCTATTTTTTCAGTAATTTTGCACATTACGTTGATAAGACGTATTGTGCGGTAGTGATGATGGAAATAGCAGTTGGGTTTTCCTCCTTTCCTAAGGAACTTGATGTTTGCTGTATTCCATTTCTGTCTGAGGTTGCACATAGGTCTTATGAACTATATAATATTTTCTCCTGCAAACTTCAAAGGTTCTGGGCAAATATCTACCTACATTGTTTTGTCAGTAGCGTATACAAAGGATTAATATATTTCGTCCCCATTGACATTGCTTAGACTGTTGAGTAGCAATTCTTCTATATGCTTTTAGCATGTTCTTTCCATTTAATCCAGTTTACTTTGTTTAAAATTCATACCTTCCTTTTGGGTTTACTGTTATATTCCACTTTGCACATGTCAATTTCAACTAATGTTACATACTAATATGCACAAATGGTATGTTTTCACGTAGTAATATTGAGCAATTTTGTACTTCATTGTGTATGCTGTGTGTTATAAGTACTAGGTCAAACATTTTGTATTTAGTCTTGTAGGTTTGCCATCATTTACACACAGTATGCATGTAATGGTGACGAAGACTTCAATTATTTCCCCTGCTTTTAAGGTCTCCCATTATTGGTGCCTTGTTGTACCAATTGTCGTAACCCCAATTCCGTCCACATTTTCTCGAATGTGACCTATGAATTTATCTCTTTACGAGCCAGGCTGCACGTTCCTGACCAAAAGTATGTAACAATATGCTGGATGCTTTGTATTGCTTTCTCAATACGACCTTTCAGTAAATCTTCCTGTCTGCATGTTCTTTCACCACTGATACACCACGATTCGATTTGAATATGTATTTTGTTTACATGCGTCTTTAAAGGAGAAACTGTTTATGTCTACTTTACTTTTTTCAACGACAATTCATTCCCAGCGCATGCGTGACAGCCAACAAACCAAAGATTATAAACATGACACAATACACAAATTATACTCTGACAAACATATATATATATTTCAATAACGTTATGAATTACCTGTTTACAAAACTTTGAATTTTGAAATACTAACGTAAAGGCTTTTCTACCTCAGGAATAGATTACCTTAGCTGTATTTGACAAAACTTTTAGGAATTTTCGGTCCTCAATGCTCTTCATCTTCGTACTTTATTTGGCCTTTTAAACATTTTTAATTCAAGCGTCACTGATGAGTCTTTTGTAGACGAAACGCGCTTCTGGCGCAAATATAAAATTTCAATCCTGGTATCTATGATGAGTGTGTTTATCAAACCATTTTTACTTTTTATCTAAGACAGAACAACCGAATAGTCCATGATGGCTTTTCCAGAACATTGCATGATCCCGATATTTACATTTATATTTTTATATATTTATATATCTATATTCCCTTACACACTTGAAGAATCATTACAGTTATCACTGACTTTGTATCTTATTTCATTGATCTAATACACATTACCCCAGACAGTCATCATATAACTGAAAGTTTTTTTAATGTTAAGAAAAAAAATTTAAACAAAAGAATATTGAATGTTTAGGAAGAAGATAATAAAACATTGAAATTACATATCAACTTCATCTGATTAAATAAAACGTTTCATGTATATAATATATAGAATTTTGACAAGTATGTTGTAACCTCCGCAGACAAAGCCCCAAACACTATCGTTTTGTTTGCTTATCACAGTGCATCAACTGCGAGATAAAAGAATTATAAAGAAGTATTGTCAATTCACAACACAAACGAAGTCAAGAACAATAATACTTCTAATTTAAGTTAATGTGGAATTTCAATAACAGATGAAGAACTGGATCTTCCATCCCTCTAAACATGCTTAATTTAAAAACATATTGCATGGTCTGCAATTTGCTCTATGGAACCACTTTTTCAAATATTAACAACATATTTTATTCCGAAATATACGTCCTTGCTTTAGGATAACTGATCATAACTCGTCAGTTTAAAACCAACGGGAAAATGGAACCAGACATTGAGTTAGTTTGTAATCCGGGTTAATTTCTCTCAATCCATTAATGACTTTTGAACAGTGGTATACTACTGTTGCTTTTATTGATACTAAACGCAATCCAAAGATCTTTTAGAGTACATGCATTCTTAGTGCAATAGTATGCAACATCTGATTTCTTTTCTATTTACAGTAAAATTGCTTATTGGACCTAGTGAAACTTTGATGAGATGTTGTTTGATGTACAGTCATTGTCCCTGTAAAATTTAACACCTCAACTAGATACTTAGTATTTTGTCATCAAAGCAACAAAAACAATATGTTCTGAAATAACTTTCAATTTATAACATATCTTATCTATTCAGGCAAAATATGAAATGATTATCTTCATATTTTCTTATTTATAGAAAGTCAAATGGAAATGTTAAGCTCACACACGAATTCTTTCACGTAATTACAGTTTGTATCATACATCATATTAGCAGTCCCGGGTGAGAACCTGAGTCGGCCACAGATTCCAGGAAAAATCGGTGCAATACGGATATCGGTAGGTCCAAGACCATAGATATCCTGAAATAACTCTCCTGACGTCCAGGTACCATTGATCAGTCCGATCCAATAAAACTGCGACGTGGAACCTGAATTAAGATAAAACAATCTAATAGTTTATCTACTTAATGTTTAAATGGCTAAGATTATCCATCATGTTAAATGCATATAAACAACGTATAAGAATAATTAGATACAATAGTAGAAAAGAACAAATATTAGTGGTATTTTATTTCGCAAATTGTATATATGATTCTGGAGTTGTCTTTCCTAATTCGTTCAAATGGATTGATAAACATGTGCTATAAACGTATACTGTACGAATATGGTCAGCCTACATGTAACTCAAATCAGATATTAACAAAAAGTAAAATAAAAATTAACAAAGTCATCAATTTATCTGCTTGTGATTGCCATTAAAACAGTGTCAGTTCTAATGATAATTATAAAACAAAGAAAACAACTTGCAATGTAAAAAAAAATGAAAATGATAAAAGAAAAGAAAATTTCAATTGATCCCATTTACTAGCTCTCTCACTGCTTTCGACATAGGATATTTGGTTTGGTAATAAAACTATCCTCGCTTTCTTCTTGCTTTCAAAGTTCGAAATATTCTCGACTCGTAAGTGTATATTTTATTTAGGTTAAATAACGACTTACAATTATTTAAACTTGTGTTGTGAAAATACAATTTTTCGACTGTCTCTACCGTTATAAGATCTCCGCCTTCAGCAATACATTGTTGTCTTGCATCATACCAATCAAGCTGTGTGGAATTAAACTTTAAGCAAATTCTAGAAGAAATATCATAATCATATCCAGGAAGGTCACATTCTGAAAAATATTTTCATGAACATGTCGTGTAATTCCTACTTATTCTAAAAAGAACACATTTATTTAATAACCCCCTCTTTATACCCACCCAAAGCGTAGTAATCTGTTTTCAGCATAGCCAACATTTTACTGTTAAGTCCGTTTTGTCCATTTTTTCAATTTAGGTGGACAGTTGCGTAACTGGCAAGATAAGAATACACGAGGAAAAAGAACAAACGGTCATACCATTTGCAAGAAGATAGAGACGAAAAGACCAACAACCGCATAGAAAACATTACACGAAAAATAAAGGGTGAGTCATACGAAGCTTATGCTTATGATAGATAAGTTTGTAGTTCTTGATACACTGGTGGCACCTGTCGTGTTGCTCATTAAAAAGTCGATTGTTAGAGGCATAAGTTGACAGAATTAAACGAGAAAAAGACAGGAAACAAAGATGTTGTAATCAGTGACACAAAACCATCTTTACAGCCAGCAACCCATGTCCTGATGTCTTCCCTTAAATGTCATTTAGGTGTTTTCACCATATCTCAAGAAGATTAAAAAGGTATTCAGTAAATGTAAAAATATACTGCAACTTAAAAAAATTAGAAACTTTTTATATATAATAATAAACCATATTATATTATAAAGAATCTCGCACCTTGGAGTTTCATACTTTGGTAGATCTGATTGCGTTATACATTACAATGTATCTACCGCATATATACTAGCCAAAAAAAGCAAGGCTACCAAATCTTTTTAGCTCATAATTTTCATTACAAAAAAATCATTTATTGCCACTAAATGTATGTTCGAAAACAGTCATTAGTCTGTATGTTACTGCACGTTTGTTTTTGATTTACCGGAATATAACGTCATTTTTGCGTATTGTTTTATTTTGAGCGGATTCACATTTATGTCGTTCGAACACGGATTTTGAGTTTAATGAGGGTGACTGAATATCCGGTAAACACAGGTAAACAAAAGGTGATTGAATGTAACAGAAAAAAGCCGGTTTCATATGCCTCACCTAAGCTAAAATGAGCGTAATAGAGCAGCGGTAAAGGTACAAGCAGGTATGCGTCATATTGACGTCAGAAACAACGTTGGTGATTCCAAATTGACAAAACGACTAATGAGTCGTTTAAAGGCATACGATACAGTTTTGATCCTATGATTGAATATCCGGTAAACACAGGTAAACAAAAGGTGATTGAATTTAACAGAAAAAAAAAGGTTTCACATGCCTCGCCTATGCAAAAATGAGCGTAATAGAGCAGCGGTAAAGGTTCAAGCAGGTATGCGTCATATTGACGTCAGAAACAACGTTGGTGTTTTCAAATTGACAAAACGACTATTGAGTCTTTCAAGGGCATACGATACAGTTTTGATCCCATGATGAATTTTACGAAAATTTGCATACAAGCTATTTGTCATCTAAGCAATTCAAATATGTAATAAAAAAATACCTCCATGTGCTACTTTAAGAGATAAAAGGGGTCGCAATTTTAGACATTTACTCAAAATTTCGTTTATTTTGACATTTCTATCCTGTGGATAGATACACCTAACTTTTTTATTTCAACAGATTAACACAAACGGAGTTTTGTAGAAACATTATGAAAATCTTCTTTACATAAATATTCTCTTAATATGTACAACTGTTCTTGGGAAATAATAAATTTTTAACAAAGTTTCAGGATTTTAAATAAAAAAAACGTCATTTTTGCGGTATATTTATTAAATTCAAAAAAAATTCAATGTTGACTTTTTCATTAAAATTGGTACAAATAATCTTCATAAGTAATCAAACCTTATGCCATTTTAAAAAAGAGGGCCGGGGTCCATGTACTAGTTTTCAAGTTAAATCAGTTTAAAACATAAAAAAAACAGTCGAAAAATGAATCTTTTATCGATATGTCACAGTTTGACGTCGCAAAAAAAAATTTTACGTTAGCAACGTCATTAATTCCCCTGTAACTATATCGTATGTCCTTAAGACAGACTAGGTCCTCTAATGACAGAAGACGTAGTGGACGTCCAAGACAAACGACGTTACGTCAATACCGTCGAATAATATTCACTCATCTCATGGATCGACTTTTGCCAGCTACAATTAATGCAAGGCACCAACCTAGAATGCATAAACCAATACTATCCGCCCAAACTGTTCGTAATAGGCTAAGAGAGGCTGGTTTGCGTTCACAACGTCCAGTAGAAGATGCCTTTCTAAAACAACGTAATCGGACTGCACGCCTACGTTGAGCAAATGCACGTTTGTATTGGATCTGTGTTAGGTGGCCAAAATTAGTCAAACTATCGGTAACATAGAAGTGATTGCAGAATGAGAGTTTACATACGCCAAAATGAACGATATGCAGACTCGTGTGTGCATGAATGTGACCGCTTTAGCGGTGGTGGTGTGATTGTTTGGACAGGAACCACGCATTGTGGACGCACTGACTTGAAGGTTATACACGGAAGTCTAACTGGAGTTCGTTATCTTGACGAAATTTCTCTATCCAATTGTCCAACCATTTATTGCAAGGCATGGAAATCGGCATACTTTTCAAGAGGACAATATTATGTTCCACGTGGCACGTGTATGCACAAAATATCTTGAGCAGAATAACATTGACATTCTTCCATGGCCAGCTTTATCGCCAGATCTATCACCCATTGAAGATTAATTGGATGAACTTGACAAACATGTTCGAAGATGTCATCAGCCACCAGAGTCAGTCAGTCAGCTACAAGCCGCCTTGCTGGAAGAGTAGAACAATATTCCACAAGCATTTATTCTACCTTTAATTTGATCAATGCGTCGTAGATTGCGTGCTGTTATCAACGCAAGAGGTGTTCATACGCGATGTAAACTCTTTAACTGTTTTGTTTCTTAAACGACATCTTCAAACATTCCGTGCAATCAGGAAAATTAATTGTGATCTGTTATCTTCGTTAAGTTTGTATGCTTTTATGTTATTGTTCTATAAAGTACAAAACTAAAATAACATTATTGAAAAATAAAATAAATATTTTTGATAAAATCTGGGTATCGTTTCTTTTTGTGGCAAGTATATTTTCCTGAATTTGTTTCGATATTGATAACCACATTTAAACAAACATAAATGAAAACATTAATTATTGTTCAAGTTACAACACAGCAGAAAAATCTTTAACTGTTGTCTTTATCGTTTACTAACATTGATTTTCATTTTGAAGAATTAAAACATAGCTCAATTTATAAAGCTATATGTGTGCAGTTATGAGAACTCATGATCCTATATCATGTCGATACAATTAATAGAGCGGCGAAAGATACAAGAGGAACATTTAAACTCACAAGTCAAAAATAAACTGACAATGCCATGACTAAAAAAGAAAAAGACAAACAGATAAATAAGAGTACATAAATCACAACATAGAAAAATAAAGACTGAACAAAACGAACTCCACCATTAACTGACATTGATCTCAGATGATCCGGCAGGGTAAGCAGATCCTGCTCCACATGTGGCACATGTCGTGTTGCTAATGTAAATACAATCCAGGTAATAAGAGTCTTGATAATGTCAGTTTGTTTGAATCAGAGTGATTTTTTACTAAGTAGGATTTATCCCTCCCTACGAAAAGATACTTGTATCTACGTTTTTCACTTTTTTATGAAACAAAGCATGATCAACTCTTTAACTTATACTTTGGCATTGCACAATGTCATGGGTTTCTTTACACTAAATGCGTTGGCTGTGTACTGACTAATAATCTATAGTTAGTTCTTATGTTGTGCTGTTACATCACTTTTCAAGGTAAGGGATGTGTGGATGGGGAAAACTGGGCGCTCATAGACATGTTAAAACCCGCCACATTTTGTTTGTGACTGTTTCAAGTCAGGAACCTGTAGTACAGTGGTTGACGTTGGTTCATGTCTGTCATATTTGTTTTTCGTAAATTATGAAAATAGTTTTCACGTTTAAATTTTTTCCCATTTTTCATATCAGATCCTTTTATTTCCGACTATACAGTATGGGATTTTCTCATTGGTTGCAGACCTTACAGTGGCCTATAATTGTAAAATTCGGTAATATTGCGCGATATTGATGGTAAAATATCAACTAACAGTGTTAGATTTTATTCGTTAAAATTTTTCCACCCCGTTTAGTGGACGGATTGACGACGGGTTCTTTTTTCTGAAATTTGTTTGTGCGAAGAATGATTCAATCTCCATATAAAAATATTTACATGGAGATTTGTATACAGGTACAAGAATCGTCGCTCCTATGTGATGTGTCAAATTATAAACTACAGATACAACGAAACTTCAATTTCGACGTTTCTCTTTCGCCTGTCTTTAAAATTCATACAATACTTCAAATTAAAAAAAAAAACATCGAATATATTTTATAAACTTGAATGGCTATGTAAAGCCGTCTTCTCTAATGATAAAGGTAAATATGCTATATATACTTACTGGAGGTGTGATGAGATGATTGAATCTGTGAATTTTCTCCTTGATAATATGTATGTACGTTTCGGCAACAAATTTTATCAACAGGTTGTATATATTCCTATGGTAACTTATTGCGCCCTGTTATATATATAAATATATATATATGATTAATAGCAGACTTGTTTTTACTGTTATGAATAACAGTGTATCCCCAAACTCAATAAAGACCCGTCTAAATTGCATTTAATTGATAAATTCAAAAACACTTACCGTTGTCTTGATGATATTTTTTTCGTTAAATAATCAAGAATTTTCTAAATTTACTGCCTATATTTTCCCAAAAGAACTTACTTTAAATAAATCAAATGTAAACGGTAATAACTGTCCTTCCCTTGGTTTAGATATTTCAGTTTTACAGGGGCAAGTCCACACTAAAATTTACGAAAAAAGACGATTTTTCGTTCCCTATTTTTAATTTTCCTTTTGGTGATGTTCCTTTGGCACCATCTTACGGTGTTAATATTTCACTACTCGTTCGCTATGCCCGTGTCTGTTGTGACGTTATAGATTTTAATGTAAATTACTAAGTCAGGGATTTCGTTACCACAAATTACTTAAAACCTTTACTAAATTCTTCCATAGATACAAAGATTTGGTTTGGACATTTGGTTGTACTAATAGAAATCTTATTTCAATCGGGATAGTACATCCTTATTTTTACGGAGTTGTTGTTTACGGTGCCCGGAAATTTAGAAACGATCCTGGTAAACTTATGGATCTTTAAAATAAACTTATTCTAAACGGAAACCAATTCAACACTGTAATTAGATCTTTGAATCCTGTTTTTTTATTGGTATTAATGTTGATTTCGACTCGTTATAAGTAAATTAAAAGCAAACTAAATATTATTGTTATATACATATGCACTTTCAAGGATCTACAATCTGTCGATATCTGTATGTAGTCATTGCACAAGATCATGTTTTTCTCTGAATGTTTATGACGTCTTTACATTAAATCCATTGGATGTTGGATGTATACTGATTGATAATTTAATCTTAGATGCATGATTTTTTTTTATTGCCTGTTGTTGGCTTTGAACTGGCTGTCAGTAATTACGAGTACTCTCAGATCTGTACTTAGTGTCCTCTTGTGTTAGGATGTACAAGTACCCCGCCACGTCCACTCTGTGCTTTTGTTGGATATATTTTTGTTTATGTCCATCTGATGAGTTAATAGATATAAGAAGATGTGGTATGAGTGCCAATGAGACAACTCTCCATCCAAGTCAAAATTTATAAAAGTAAACCATTATAGGTCACAGTACGGTCTTCAACACGGAGCCTTGGCTCACATCGAACAGTAAGCTATAAAGGGCCCCAAAAAATTACTACTGTAAAACCATTCAAACGGGAAAACCAACGGTCTAATCCATATAAAAAACGAGAAACGAGAAACACTTATGAACCACATCAACAAACGACAACTACTGAACATCAGATTCCTGACTTAGGACAGGTGCAAACAAATGCAGCGGGTTTAAACGTTTAAATGGTACCAAACCTTCACCCTTTTTCTGAAACAATAGTGTAACATCACAACATAGAAAGACACACTATAACATATCAACTGAAATAGCTTAACTCAATCAAAGGACATATTAAAACCATTGAACATACACTGAACAAATAAATTTGACCTATGACACAATGTAAATACAAAATAAATAAACTAAGGGAAGAATAATAAAAGTAACATGTTATATCGGTAAGAAATGTTACACAATTAAAGAAAAACAATATGTTCGAACAAAAATACCAGCCATTTGCAATAACTTTAAACACAGGTAAATGAAAATAATTTTGTTGTTAGGTATACGTGTACAGTACCAATAGAGAAAGGAAATATTTTTACAAAATAAATAATTTTGATGTTCATAGTACGAAGTGAAAATTTATAGTTATACCAAACACTTATCAAAGCTGGTATATAGACCAGATATAACCCTGAATAACATTAAATAACAAAAAAGCAAAACAATTAGTATCAACAGGTCAAATAAACAAGACAGTACGATTTGAGAGTACTCGCAGTTACTGACAGCTAGTTAAAAGCCAAAACAATTAATAATAAAAAATCTTGCATCAGAGACTAAAATCAATTAAAACACATCCCAGGGATTTAGTATTTTAACATCATGGACAGTCAAAGAAGACATGACCAGTGCAATGCCAAAAATAAATGTATCGACAGACAGTAGGATAGTTAGGAGTTTAACCTCTTTATAGATCTAAACGAACGTGGGTGTGTCTTTATACATCCCACTTGAAAAAAAATACAAATTTAGTTATGTTTTAATTTGCTGATGACAAAATCGATATTAGTGCCAATGTAAACTATATTCAAAGATCTAATTACAACATCGGTAAGATAACCTTTACTAATAAGTTTGTTTAAAGGTTCGATGAGTTTACACGGATCACATAGTGATTTCCGCGCTTTAAGTACAATATTACCGTAAAATTTAGGATGTTAAATACCCGTTTTTAATTTTTTAATCAGTTTCCTACAAGTACAGCCAAATTTACTAATCAAATCTTTGTATCTATGAAAGAACTTAGCAAAAGTTTTACGTAATTTATGGTAACGAAATCCTTGATTTAATAACTTACCAGTGATGCATTGATTACGTTCGTTAAAATCTATGACATCACTACACACACGGGCATAACGAACGAGTTGGGATATATATACACCGTATGATGGAGCCAAAGGAACATCGCCGTCTAAAAAAGGAAAATTAACAATAGGGAATGAAAAATCGTCTCTTTTGTCGTAAATTTTCGTATGGAGTTTTCCTTTAGAGATAGAAATGTCCAAATCCAGAAAAGGACAACTACTGCTGTTTATGTTAGATTTAGTTAAAATAAGTTCTATTGGGTAAATTTCGATAGTATATTTAGAGAACTCTGGATTATTTAACGAAAAAATATCATCTAGATAACGGAAGGTATTGTTGAATGTATCAACCAAATGTAACAATGACGTATCTTTACTGAGTTTGATCATAAACTGAGATTCATAGCAATACAGGAATAAATCTGCTATTAAAGGGGCGCAGTTAGTGCCCATAGGAATACCTACTACTTGTCGATACACTCTATCGCCGAAACGTACATATATGTTGTCCAGGTGAAAATTTAAAGCTTCAATCATATCTTCACATTTCCAGTAAGTGTATCTAGCATACGTTCCTTTTTCGTTACAGAAAAAAGCTTTAAACGAGTTACAGCAAATAAATTTGTAAAGAGATTTTTCAAAAGACCATTTAATTAAATATGAAAACTTTTTCTTGATAAGATTGTGTGGAAGTGTAGTATTGAGAGTAGAAAAATCATAACTGTCAACAGAATTAAAAGGACCATCAAAAGCATGTATTTTATCTAAAACCTCTAAAGAATTTTTAACCCTCCAAAAATAATTAATACCATTATTTTCATAAGCTTTATTACAAAAGTTAATAACAAGTTCTTTGATAGTAGTAAGGGAGGTAGTTAGAAGCACTGATAGATTAGTAGTAGAACACTTACTAGATGCGGAGATGAAACGGAATTTAAATGGTTTTTTGTGTAATTTAGGTAACCAGTACATAGTAGGGACTTTCAAATGGTCGGAAGAGGCCTTAAGCTGGGTAGTGGCAGTGATATGCTTGTTTACAATTTGACTCTCTGTGGAGCGTACGAACCTGAATGTAGATGAATTTGTAATTTCGTTTATGAGAACTTCCGTGTAGTATATGCGTCACACCACCACTACATTATTTGCTGCTTTGTCTGCCGGTACGAACACAAACCGCTTTGCGAGTACTAGGAGTTTATTTTTTTATTCTGGAAATGGGAATATCATGGACCCTATTACTAATTTCAGAATTGTTTTCAAAATAAGATATACGAATATTAACAGTATTCATAATTTTATTCAAATAACTGTTTAGAGATTTTTTATCAGATTTTTCACGTTTACACCAATTTTTACAGTAGACAGACGATCGTCTTTAATGATCTGTCGACACTGTTTCCAATCTATTTTAGATGGAGGACGATATTTCGGTCCTTTCTTAAGAAAAGTTATGACCTCACGGTCTTCGACGATGTTGAGGTCTCCTGTAAGGACATGACCATAGGGAACATATCTTAAACTAGATGTTTCACAATCTCAAGTGGAAGGAACATTATTTTCTATATTGACATCTGATGTAACTGACGTATAATTGAAAACTAAACTTTTGCTGTTTTTTTTTAAAAGAATACGAAATAATAGGTGGTTCTATATTATCAAAATATGGAGGTATTTGGCTTTGGATGGTAGAGTCATTTAATATACTAGATAAGCCTTTTTCAACTGATTTTTATAGTTCGTTCTTATGTTGTATTGTTACACTACTGTCCCAGGTCGGGGGAGGATTGGGATCCCGCTGGCATGTTTAACCCCGCCACGATCTGTATTTATACGCCTCTCTCAAATGAGGAGTCTGTAATTCAGTGGTTGTCGTTTGTTACTGTGTTACAAATTTATTTTTCGTTCTTTTTGTGCATTAATTAGGCCGTTAGTTTCTCGTTTGAATTATTTTATATTTGTTATTTCGGAGCCTTTTATAGCTGACTATGCGGTATGGACTTTGCTCAATGTTGAAGGCCGTACGATAACCTATAGTTGTTAATCTCTGTGTCATTTGGACTCTTATGAAGAATCGTCGAATTGGCAATCATACCACATCTCCTTTTTATACACACTTTCATTTATTTGTTTATAATGATATAACAAAATTATTGAGATGAATCAAAAATGAACATGAAATATTTTTGTTTTATATTTAATTTCTATATTATTATGAATGTTTAGTTCGCCATGACTTTTATTTACTATAAAAATATTAAGAAGTGGAACGCTTGCCATGATACACCTGTAAACCAAAAAGACTAAAGAACAAGGACAAAAATACGTAACAGCAATAATCAAATCCCATAGCCTATATAGGGTAAGCAGTAATTAGCCCCGGTTAACAAAAAGAGTGAAACAGTTCATCAGAGAGAATTAACGACCTGCTTAAAGCTATAAGTGTTAAACGGGAAACAAAATTTACAAATGCGAAACAACGTTCTATTTGACTGCGATAATTTATTTCAAAACTGAAGATTTCTAATTGTTCAAGAATAATAGGAGTTTTTTTTAAATTTCAAGACAATAGTAGAATTTTTTTGAAACAAACATGCACGTAAGGCGATACATGAGCATATATAAGCAAACCTTTATGTTTGGTGAAAAACAAACTCCAGTTGTCCGTAGTCTGAATAGTCGACGAAACCGCAGGTTTGTCCGTGTGTAACAGGCACTGTTTGTCCTTATATATAAATCTGCTACAGAGACCGACATCAACAGCACACACAACAGCACACTGTACTAGACTCTGAGTTAACACATTTCTGTATATATTGTTTCCATAAGGACACAGAACTTGGGATTTTCGGTATTCTTGAAAAGTGAGAACGTATGGAATAATCAAAAAGAATTGAAGCAACATCTTACATAGTACGTTCTGTGTCATTAAGACCTTAGTGTTTCAGATCTCGTGTTGTTTGGCTGCACATCGTATTATTTCGAATCGATTTCCAGAATCATATTGAAAAGTAGAATAATTTGAAATTAAAATTGTATCATGTATTCTTTAAAACAGAATTCCTGATTAAAGCACTTTAGATGTTTTTCATTTTATTTTGCATGCATTAAATGTCTTCAAAGATGTACTAAATGATAAGACATTAAATGTATTTTCCAAACAGATATATCTTGTAAAATCAGATAATGTACAATAAGGACTTTTTACCGTATTCCCAGGAGATGAAAAAGTGAATTTCTTTTAAATGTATCATTGAGATTGCTTATATGTGAATCTTAAATTATAAATGGATTTTCAATTTATGGTTATTATCATTTGCCAAGTATCATGACTGTATCATATCAATAAAGGATAGAACTGAAATGCGAAAAAAATGTTTATCAAACTAATCCATACAGCCAGTCAGCGTCTAAAATGCAAAAAACGGCAGGGAGCTTCAAAACGGCTGATATATAAATTTTAAATTTCACCCAATACTACTACGCTTCAACGAAATTCCCACATTTCTTTAAATTTATAATTACTGTGCAATGTAATAGTATCTTATCTGTCGTTCAACTATCTGTATCACTTTGATCAGCTCTTAATGAAATTGCATAACACGGCAAATCATTGACTCGGGCTTAATAACTTTGACACGGACATATCACCGACATCATAATGAATGAACCGACGTTGATAAGTTTAACCCGAACTTATCAAGTCATATTCCGGTTTGCTGGTAAAACAAAAAACAAAAAACCAGTTATTTCTATTATGCAAAATAAGCAAATACAACCCGTTAAAGTGATTATCTGGTTGTCTGCATATTTATACTGTGAAATCTGTCCGCTCACGCGACACAAAACTTCATACTGTGACTCGCAGCTGATATTTTACAATATCAATATGTAGATAAGCGGTAAAGAAATAGACTGCAAACTAAAAACAGCAGATATCACCAGCTTGAAGAAATATGAATAATCAGCAAACAGTTTCAGAGGAGGTGTGTTCACTAAGGGTCACTGATAGACGGGCGCGTTTACGGACGAATGCAGACTATTAGTATGTCCCATCGTCGTGTGTGACTAATTTGTCCATACTGCTAGATTTTATCAAACATGCATCCTCATTTGAAAATTTGAACTTCTAGTGTAACTTTGTCAAACATTATGTAACGGAACAAGCTATAGAAATAAGAAGATGTGCATGTCTATGCAGTGTTTAAAAGTCATATGATCCTTAAAAAAATGTATATGTTTTAAATACTTGAGTGGCTACGTTTTACTTTTAAACAAGTGTACATGGACTTTATATTAAAAGCAAATCTTTTATTTTATCTTAGGCTTCAGAAAAGTAGTGCTTTTGAAATATTGTCTTCTCGTACTTTAAATGGCCGATTGTTTTTCCATATGCAGTTACCTTTACCCTGAAACCTCCAGTTAGAGCTTCGACAACTGCACAGTACGAGGGCGAGGACAAATCGTGATAAAAGAAAAGGTAAACAAACGTGGAAGGGAGACAATATTGACTAATTCTAAATGAAAAAAAAATACTCGAAATAATTTTGCAACTGTTATGACAAAGAAAAATGGGAATGCATAGAAAATATGTATAAAAAATTAAACATTGTTCTATCATCTCACTTTTTTTTCATGTGCTCCATGATTCTGTGTTAATAGATTATCAAGGCCACGGTCGGTTAACGTCGGCACTAAAAAAAAGGAAATTGATCAGCAGCCAAAGTTTTCGATGAAAAGATCATCGATTGAAAAATCTTATTGTCGATTATACGCTTTGGAATTGTAGAAAATATATATAAAAAAACGTGCATAGAGGACTTAGTTAAGTATGAATGCATGCATTCATTGGTTCAAAATAATTTCCTTAACATTATATTACATGAGAAATCGTTTCTTCTGAATTAAGCATTACAGTTCACACCAGTTGACGTAGATAAAGAATGTGTCTACCATTTAAGCATGCATAGATATTATATATATCAGTTAATTAACTCATTTGTTCTGGGTTTTAAAATATACATAATCATATGAATAATGGATGTTCGCTCCTCTGATTCAATATAACAAGCTTTTAAGAAGACCGTTTAAATTATTAGCATATAAATAATGGATCTTAAAATCTAGAAGAAACATAACATTCATACCCTAGTTTTTAAGATAAGGTCAATCATAAATTTGAAGGGAAAAAAATCACTCTAGATTTTTCATAAATTAAACATTGGCACATTTTTTTCCAAAAAAGGAAAACAATAAAAAGAAAAATAACAAGGATTTAATAAGATTTCAAATTTGACGTTTTAAAACTTGATTTAATAAAAATACGAAAAGAAAAGTAGGGGTTAGCGGGATTTTTTTTTTATTTTGCACTACATGGATAAAACTCAAAGATTCCGAATATCTGACAAATTATCAAAAACAAGAGTAGCGAACATCCTTAATGTTACTAAAGAAGCTCTAAGATGAAGAATGAATGATTTGTGGTTGCTATGCATTGCTTTTTTGCCATTCGTCTACAAAGTCGAAGTACAAATATTTGTTTTGATTTTTGTACATTTGTTTAAGACCAAAGAATCATTCACGGAACGGGCGCCTGGCTTACAAAAATAATAAGCCTGGTGCATGTCTGTTATAAGTTTGTTTTTTAAAAGAGTCATTCAATCCTTCAATTGTTCAGTATAACCCAATACAAGACCTTTCGGCTTGGAATTCATTAAATATCAAAAACTAAATCCGAGAGATCGTTATCAAGTTTCAGGCGTATCGCTAATGACAAATCCCTAAATACCTATATGTGAATAGCCCTAATAAATCGTACAATCTGGGTACATGTCTTATTTAGGTTTAAATATCAATCAATTCTTTTTCTGGACTAAGCAATCCATTTTCAGGTTGGTATCCTTTATATGCTTATCGAAACGATGGGCCTCCCGTAAACTAGAAAGCTGAATAAAAAAACGAATTACATCGTCTTATATAGTCTAAAATAATCTAAATATCTAACCATAGTTTTATTTACAGTACTATTTATGACTTGTACCTCATTTACATGCGCATGCGAGAAGAATATTTCCACATCCTGTCATGTTAATAAGTTACAAGTTCTAATGGTACTGTAACTTTTTTGTGTCATATACATATTCATTAAATTTTTCCCGCGGTCCGTGCAAAAACGTTTTTGGATAATTCATTGACCGAAATATCTGCACGTTTTAAAAAAAGCCTTGATGGGGGAGAGGTTTCAGACATACTATTGTCCAAAGTTGAAGAAAAGATGGAATGCCAACCAACAGTTGATATACTCCACCTTGACGTTTTATCTGATGAAATAGGTGACATCACTCTTTCGCAGATTTGCGAAAATATGAAAAATGAACAAGAGGCACTAAAGGAAATAAACTCAATGACATTAACCCAGACTATGAGAACATATGAATTATATTCAGACATGGGTAATTTTGGACATTTCTGATACAACTACAGCTGTGACAACAAGCTTAGCTTTGCTTCTTTCGTTTCTGAATTAAAGATAACAGCCTTAACTGAAGAAAATGAATCTAAAACACTAAAGCTAACACAAAGTGGGCGGTGAAAGTGTGACAAATGTGGCGAGGGGAAAGAACACGTGGCACAAAAGAGTGTATACCAGAATTCAAGGACATAGATGCTAATTCACTAGATTTTTGGAGGCAACGATTTATCATGGAGGTGGGTACACAAAAAGGTGAGAACCGAAAATAACAGTGTGGACAGTTTAAAGTTGGTTCAAACGAACGAGCGGGTTCATTCACTTCATCGGTAGACAGCCTAAACTTACAAGGCGAACCTGGTGAACAAGAATATAAAACATTATTGTCCGGAAGGTAATTTTTTTGTGGTGGTGAAGGAGAATTTTACAGACGACCATTAAACGGTGATATTATTCGATACATTCAGCAGTCTCTCGGAATAAGTAAACTGAAAACACTACTGAAAACAATCTGCGCCAATGCGGGCTTGACCGGTTATTTGACAAATCACTCCGGTAAAAGAACATGTGGTACACAGTTGTATATGGCCGGCGTCGATGAACAAGAGATCACGAAGCACACTGGACACCGCTCACAAAAAGTTGATCGTAAATATAAGAGATAATCAGATAAAATATTGGAGAACTTCCGTAACATATTGAACCCGCCTACTTGACAGGCTAAGAAAAGTAAAATTGAAGAAAATACTTCTATGGAATGCATAGAAAAGAGGGGCGAAAGATACCAGAGGGACAGTCAAACTCATAGATCAAAAATAAACTGAAAACGCCATGGCTAAAAAATAAAAGACAAACAGACAAATAATAGTACACAAGACACAACAACTAAAGACTAAGCAACACGAACCCCACCAAAAACTGGGGGTGATCTCAGGTACTCCAGAAAGGTAAGCAGATACTGATCCCCATGTGGCACCCGTCGTGTTGCTCATGTTATTACAAATCCGGTAAATAGTCTAATCCGGTAGGTCACATTCGTGGTGAAAAAGCAAGTGGATTGTAATTACGACATAAGGAACATATCCGATATCATCTGTGAAACGGTTATTTCATAACGATCAACCAACTCGTGATGGTTCCGTAAAATTTACGAAGGGATGATTTCAACTTCACCATTTGGAACTCGTGGTTTAATAGCTTCCTTGTGAGAAGCAACCCTCTATCAAGGAAATCATGATAGGAAAAACAAGCCCGGGAATATCGTTTCAATTGGGAGATATATACTTCGTATGCAGGCGCTGCTGGAATGTTGCTACATAGAAATGGAAAGTTCACAATTGGGAAGCTGAAATCATCTCTTTTGTCGTAAAGGTTTGTTTTCAACCGACCCTCATTGTCAATTTCTAGATGTAAGTCAAGATATGAGGCAGACTTAACTGTATCTGTTGTA